TCAGGACTTATATATGAAGTAATTTGCAGTTTTACTTTCTGTATGTTCAAAGATGTGATGTGCAAGCTCTACATGAGCCACAGTTATTGGCAATATATTAGGTTAGCTCTAGTGCTAATGTGTTTGTGGAAAGAGTTTCTTGACGTTTCTTTATGTCTAAATAGCATGCCATGAACCTTTAGTGACTTTATCACTTTTTCCTCCAGATAAATGATAGAAGTGCAAATAATAATGTTGCATTTACAATATCCTCTCTCCTCTGCAAATCTGTTGTTATTGTTATTTTAGTAGTGATACTTCTTGTTTCAGTTTTCCTCCCATAATGTTATAATTGAATGAATCCTGGAAATGCAGAGGGAGCATTACAAGAATTATACAAATAACTTAAGAGGTGAGGAGAGAAAGGGAAAGAACACTTTAAGACTCCAAAGGAAAAAAGAAATCCTAATCATCTGTTCCTAATTTATCCACCCTAATACAATCTGCCCTATCCAGCTCATCATCTCCTGATGTATAATGCATGGATAAATATTGCTACCTATGTACTCTGTGAATGCAAAGGTAGTTTATAATTCCCCTGAACGGTTTTATTAATAGTACAGTGTTAACCACCTTGGTCTGAGTCATAACTAATTGTTACTCTATATTTGTGAAACCCAAGGAAAAGAAGTCAAGAGGAGGCAGAAGATGGGAAAAAATCCCACCCTGGAGTTAGGTGTATTAAAAGAGTAAGTTCTTTTAGTCTAAGCAAGAAGCTGGTAATACTTGTTAATGTAGTCATTCTTTAAAACAGTTTTTCAGGTATTAAATTAGAAATCTTCACTATGCTCTAGCTATTAACAGAAACCACCTGAATTTCTGGATGGAAGTCCAATGGAAACAGAATTATAATATCCGAAAGCCTATGTAATGGCATGTTAAGTTTTCCATTGACTGGTTTCAGCCCTCATATTCCCTTTTCATTTTTAAAATATACTATTAAGGAGAGGTTGAGAGGTGAGCAAGTTTGACATCTTACCCATTTGTTTCTTCACAACCTATTACAGAAAAATATATCTCTTAGTTTTAAAGGAAATAAATCTAATCAGTAACATTAAGTTGTGTAATACACACCCCATTAACCTTGTGCTTCATGCTGTCTCCAAAAAGCCTGCATAGAAAGGTGGCACACCAGATCACTAACAGGACCAGGAGAGAAACCTGAATATGCAAAATATCACTCAAAGTCCCTGTATTCCTTCATCAGTGTGCAGACTTTGCAGGAGATGAAGTCCAAGGGAGATCTGGCAACAAAACAGAGGGAGTTCTCTGAATATAGCTGCACGAATTGGGCAGGAGAAAAATCCTGGTAAACAGTAAAAAGCACCGGTAAATAAATATAAATTTACTGCTCTGAATTCCTCTGAACCCCTCTGAACCCTGACAGTGACAATTCGTTCCCAAAGAATACCTATTTGTCATTCCACCCACTGCTGTGCTATAGCCGACACTGAAAACATATTAGGAAAGTGTATGTAATGTTCAAGGCATCTTCAGGCTCTTTCAGATGTAGGAAAATCCAGACTGGTTGCTCAACCACCTTTCCTACCAAAACACCAGCTGGAGAGAAGCTCCTAATTATTTGGAACTCAGTGTGCTGTTATGAGCTTGAACAGATGAAGACTAGACAGAGCCAAATTGCCCTTTCGCACCACCTTAACACTGGTATAACATCACCGATTTAAACACCATTAAGTGACAGATGAGTAGGTCTGCATATCTGCATGTAATGTGCAGAGGGAAATGAAAACTTTTTCTTTAAAGGGATCTTTAAGAACTGTTGTGGGCAGAGGAGGGAAGAGGAAACACAAAATAAGATGGTCAAAAAATGAAAACAAGCAGTTCACAGGGTAGGAGGAAGGCGGCTCATGAGGAGAACAGAACTCCCATGTTGAGAGACCTCTGTGCATAGTGTGCTTCTCTTACTGTCATACCTGCAGTATGCAGCAAACACAGAAGAATGCTGTGAGTATTGATGATCAGTGATTTTTCATTCCTGAGTTGTGGAATGTCCAGGTTAAGCTGTGTGAGCATAATGTAAGTAATAACAGTTCATTCAGGAAGCTGCAGAGGTTTTGGCAGCTCCTTCAAAATTAACACAAATACTTGGAGATTTAAGGGGTATGGATTAATTTTGTTTTGTTTATGTTCATTTTGAACAATCTTTTACCCTGTTATCACTTAATGTGAATTGATTCTTGGGAGAATTTTCATTTAGTCTATTTAAGGAAATAGAAATTTAGAAAATTATCTTTCATTACTTGTAATGCTGCTAGTTTCACTTTTGCTTTAGCCTCTCTAGCACAGAATTGGCTGGATTGTATCAATTGACTATTTAGATTCATATAGCTCTAGGCAAAATATCAAGCACAGAATACGTATGTCATCCCTGAAACTACTGATAATAATGTCGTTAACATGACCTATCAGTCTTTATATTTTTCAGCAAGAAAAGCTAACAGTCAGACCACTTCGTTAGCAGAACACAACTGTAAGCCTCTGAAGTATAAATTAAATCTCTTCTTGCTGCCTTTATCTGACTCTCCAAGCTACAGAGGGAGTATTATCAAATCATTTCTTTACACTGCAGAGTAGCATTACTCTTTGGAAGATCTCCAGCAGATGCTGCAAGGAGTCCTTTAGGGGCAGCTCTCCACAGTTCATGCTGCTTTCCTCTTAGTGACATGGAGTCAGAAGACTGTGCACAGGCAGTATTTGATTTTCCTCCATTAAAAATCCTTAAAGCTCCACGGGTAGTCTCCTCTCCTCTAAGAAACCCAAGAATGAAAGCCCTAGTTCAATGAAATTGCCTTTTAATAATAGAATCATAGAATATCCTGAGTTGGAAGGGACCCACAAGAATCATTGAAGTCTGACTACTGGTTCTGCACAGGACAGCCCCAAGAAACACACCATGTGCCTGAGAGCACTGTCTAAATGCTTCCTGAACTCTTACAGCCCTGGTACTGTGAACACCTCCCTGAGGACCCTGCTCCAATGCCCAGCCATTCTCTAAGTGAAGAATCTTTACCCAATCTCCAACAAAAACCTTCTCTAACACAGCATCCTACTGTTCCCTTGGGGCCTATTATTGGTCACCAGAGAGAAGAGAGCAGTGCCTGCCCCTTGTGAGGAAGCTCTGGACAGCTTTGAGGTCTTCCCACAGTCTCCTTTTCTGCAGACTGAACAGACCAAGTGACCTCAGACACTCCTCATATGGCTTCCCCTCAAGGCTCTTGGCCGTTTTCACAGCCGTCCTTTGGACACTCTCTAATTACTTTATATATTTTGTATATAGTGGTGCCCAAAACTGCACACAGAACTTCACATGAGGCCGCCCCAGTGCAGAGCAGAGTGGGACAACCCCCTTCCTTGACTGGCTGGCGATGCTTTGCCTGATGCCCCCCAGGACATGGTTGGCCCTCCTGGCTGCCAGGGCACTACTGACTCATATTCAACTGGCCATTGACCAGGACCCCCAAGTCCCTTTCCATGGCACTGCTTTCCAGCATCTCATTCCCCAGTCTGTCCATACATCCAGGGCTGCCCCATCCCAGGTGCAGAATCTGACACTTGTCTTTGCTCATAGGGTTGGGGGTTGCCCAGCCCTTCAATTTGTCGAAGTCTCTCTGTGGGGCCTCCCTGCCTTTGAGGTGGTCAACAGCTCCTCCCAATCTACTACAACTGGCAAACTTGCTTAGTGTTCCATCCAAGTCATTCATGAAGGTGTTGAAGAGAAGTGGGATTAAGATGGAGTCCTGTGAAACCCCACTAATGACTGGTCACCAGCCTGGTGTTACCTCATTTGCTGAAACTCTGTGCCTGACCCCTGAGCCAGTTGCTCACCCACCCCACGATGTGTTTATCCAGCTGTGTGCTGGACATTTTGTCCAGAAGGATACTGTGAGAGACAGTATCAAAAGCTTTACTGAAATCCACAAAGATTATATCAACCGGTTTCCCTTAATCAACTAGGTGGGTTACCTTGTCATAGAAGAAAATTAGGTTTGACAAGCAGTATTTTCCCGTCTTGGAACCATGCTGGCTGTGACTGATGACTGCGTTGTCCTTCAGGTGTTTTCCAATACATCCCAGGATAATCTCCATAATTTTACTGGTCACTGCAGTGACACAAACAGGCCTTTTAATTTGTCATCCTTCTTGCCCTTCTTGAAAACTGAGGCAATGTTAAATCCCTACCTCATCAGCCGGAAGCCTAAAGAATAGACAACAGACTATTTTTTTTCAGGGACTGTAAACAGATAAATAAGAATTCAGCAATCTGTAATTTAGAATATAAATTTAGGACTATGCCCCTGCTAACATTAATCAATATACATGTTGATTTACATAGAAACAATACAGATAATGTACTGAATACACTATTCAGGATATAAGAGTTTCACCTGTGGAGAATTTATAGCCCCCGTGTATGCCAAGAAAAAAATGTTGTTATTATACGCAGAACTGCAAGGAAACTTGTATTATCAATCAGGCAATAGCATGTCATGTATTTCAGTTCATAAAACTGGCATTTTTAATAAAAGGTGTCAGCTTAATTTAGAGTTTAAGCAGAGAACATAGAGAAATATTTTCCAGTTCATTAGGCCACAGGCCCATAGCATGGAAATAAATTCTTCTGATGAATCCTGTCAGCACACTGTAATTCCAACACTGCCATTTTCTGAAATTAAGCAGACCCATGCCACCCTTTGCTCTGCTGATGGAGCTCCAAATGCTTCACAAGAGTTTCCCAGGGCTGGTTGTGATGCTGCGTCATAGTGGGAGCCATCTCACAGGATGCGCATGGGGAACGGAAGGGGTGTTTTGCCCTGAGTAAGTGGTTTGAGATAAGTTATGAGCTCATGAGTCAGGAAAACAAGCTATTTTCAGTTTATGCTCTCTGCCAGGTTCTGTTCTTGATGCCCACTCACATAAGCATAATTGTTTTGCATTTGTAGCACTGGAACAAGAGCAAGTTTTGAGGACCTGAATATAAGCTGTGGAAGCTGCCTCAATGTAAGGAAAAGGAAAGAAGAAAATCCCAAGTAAGCACTGCAGCTTCTGTGTGTTTGGGAGGGAGGAATTCTATCATGTGCTGCCTGTTGGAGGGGTTTCCCTTCTTTATTGTGCCAACTGGCAAATCTCTTACTGAAACTTCTGTCAGTTTTCAGTATTACTACCAAAAATCAGTTGGCAGTTGTAATCCTTTTGTTTAGATAATTGAAATCCACTGTAGAACAAAAGATTTACATCATCTGCAAAAGTATTCCAGCTTGTAGAAAGTGTATGGAATTCTTTGTTATTGTTGACATTTTCTTTTCAACCATTCATATTTCTAAAGGAGCAAAAATGTCTTGGTGCAGCTTGCCTGGTGATTGCATTCAGGTTAGATATTTAGAAACAAATATTGCTAAGCTATAGCACTGTTGCTAATGGTAGGTGAAGGTTGTCTTGTGTCATGTGAACTGGTCAGAGGGATGGGCACATTTCATCTGCATTTTCCCTCTTTTTATGAAACAATACACTGTGAATTGGAGAACACTTCATTTAGCATAAATTGTGCAACAAATGGCTTGCCTAAGGGAAATGGAGCACACAGCTTAACCACAAAGATTAAAAATATTTTTTTTTGTTTTCAGATCTGGCTAATAATTACACAGTGAACGGTGTCTTTGTCTGCCTCTTCTGCATACAATGTATACATGCTGTTATTTGTGAAAATATCTTTGCTCTCCTGAAACCCCACTTGGAGTACTACATCCAGGTCTAGGGTCCCCAGCACGTGGACCTTTTAGAGCAAATCCAGAGGAGGCCACAAAGATGCTCGGAGTGCTGGAGCGCCTCTCCTATGAAGACAGGCTGAGAGAACTGGGATTGTTCAGCCTGGAGAAGAGAAGGCTCTGGGCTGACCTTACTGGAGCATTTTCAGTGTATAAAGGGGGCTCATAAGAAAGACAGAGAGAAAATTTTTACCAAGGCCTGAAGTGACAGGATAATGGACAGTGGTTTTAAACTGAAAAAAGATAGATTTAGGCTGGACATAAGGAAGACTTTTTTTTTTTACTGTGAGGTTGGTGAGAAATTGGAAGAGATTGCCCAGAGAAGTTGTGGATGCCCCATCCCTGGCAGTGTTCAAGGCCAGGTTGTATGGGGCCCTGAGGAAACCGGGGCAGTGTGTGGCATCCCTGCCCGTGGCAGGGGGGCTGGAACTAGATGATCTGTAAGGTCCCTTCCAATGCAAACCATTCTAATAATTCAAATAATTCTGTAATTCTATGATTCCGTGAAAATTAGACTTTTCTTCCATTTATATCTGCCAAGATACTGTGTTCAAAGGGGAAACCATGTGATCCAACACTGGGCACAGTTGTTCTCCATTCTGCTGCCCAACTGCCTTGGCCTCTGTGTGAGTTGAGTCATTATCTAGTTATTATTAGAGAAATTGCCCTAATTTGATATTAAGAGAGGAACTATAATTGAGTGGAAACAAGAAATTAAGGTTCAACAATGAAAGTGTCCCGGAGAGTGAATTTGGAATTAATCTTCCAGTGGGTTTACAATGTGTCCACAAAAAATAGTACCATATACCCAAATTTTTTTCAGTTACTCTGTTTTAGCAACTAATAATATAAGATTTTGCAAAATTTAGAAAATTTGAGTATTTGTTTCATATAATTCTCACGATGAGGAAATGAAAGAAAGTTTATGTGTCAAATTATTGTCTCCCACTATCTTTTAATGAAAGATTTGGTGGCTGAACAAAATTTTCAGATCAGAAACAGTGCTAAGCACGAAGCTCATACTTCTTCCGAAAGTGCTAGAAGTAAAAGTTCTTCTATTATTTCACTTAACATAGATTTTTTCCTAAAGGTCTGTCACAAGAGCTTTTTAATTTGCTCCATGATTTTAGTGCCATGATAATGGAAAGATAAAAGTAACGTCTGTGGTTCCAGTATTTACCAGTGCTATGTTAAGTTATCCTCATAAGTATTGTAACTTCTCTTGTTGCACAGATCTAAATAGTATTACACATATCAATCCTCCAGAAAGTATTGTTTGCTAGCCTACAGCAGAATAGCCACTGAATTTTACAGTACTCAACCTAACAATATTATTTACATTCCATTGTTACAGAAATAGTGCACTGTGGCTCCCGGTTAGCAGGATTTCTAAGTGAATAATTAATGCTTGTCATTGATTCTTATTAAAATCACTGAAAGTATTCAAATTCTTAAAGCTCTGTATTTTAAAATATTTTCCTGAGTCAGACTTATATACCTTAAAGCAGTGGAAGTATTTTCACTGAAATTAGTAACAACTGGGAAGGAAAACAACTGCAGTAATAACCATATTTTTTCCGTAAGTGGTATGTAGGGACCCTATACTTGCCTTACATGTCTATATTTTTTTGTTCTGTTCAACTCTTTTGCAAAAGAGTTGGTGTAGCTGTGCTAATATACTTTTTTTTTGTGGGAACAGTTTTAAGTAAGGAGATCTTTAGTTGTTCCCTCTTAAAACAGTAAATAGGTACTTCCATCTTGAAGCAAGGAATGTCTGGTTTTGGTTGGTTATATTTTTCTATCCCCCAGCCAACATGCAACCTCAAATATGCATATGCATTATGTATAGTGTTTAGGGTTTACTTAGTAGAAAGCACGAGTTATATATTCAGTTTTGCCACAAAATAGAAGTCCTTTCTTCCAAAGGAATGTCCAGATTTCTGCTATGCCGATTGGCTGAAGGACATATGTTTGTTTGCAATTTATGTGTTTTGTTGTGCTTTTTTTTAAATTTCATCTTTCTGTGATAGTTTGTAGTGAAGCTTTTCCATTTTCAAGTTCTAAATACTTCCTGGGATAAACTAATAGGATGTAAGAAGGAAGATTGTCTTATTCAGTAGCCAAAAATAAGTTTAAGGAAGGACATCTTATTGGTCTGGATTTGGATTCAGATTTGTAGTTGTTGTTGATGTGGTGGTGTCACCTGTAGCATCAGGCAAGTAGGTGGAATGGGGCAGGTGGCGTGGCTAATTGCCTTAGTGTTTATCATGTCTTGCATGAGGTTTTTAATATCAAGACACAAGATGAATGGATCATTAGGAGTTTGGCAAGAGTGTTTTGTGGGAAGAGTAGCCTAGGAGGAATACCACTGCAATAAGCACAGCATAAAATATGAAGATAAGCAGAAGAGAGAGCTTACAATGGCAAAACGCACTATTTGTATCAGCTTAAGCTTCTGAACTCATAGTTTGGAGAAATGAAAGCAGTAGTTATTATCTGTCTGGGATCTGCTTGAGTCACTAAACTCTTGTACCCATAGCCTGTGTGCAGACAGAATTTTCATTGCTTTTCATCCAATTGTCAGCAGAAAAGAAATTTTAGGGCGCTGTCAGGACATTTAGCTTGCTGGATTGCATTCACTGAGGTGATTTCCCAATATGTGATATGAAGTGGTTGGTCATTTCAAATTCTTTTTAGTCTCTCACTATCACTACTAATTAAGACGACTTTATCCTTAAAATATTTTACATATTTTGAAGTAATTTCTCAGCTCTATTTGTATCTCTTTAGTGGAGCAGTATAGAGGGACACAACCCAGATGTCTGCTAGAAATCTTCTGCTGGATGTTACAGACGCGTTTAGGAATCTCCGGCATAGCAAGATCTGATAGAGCACAACTACAGTCTCCCTGCCTCTCCTAGATACCCATGCAGAAATCCCCCATTAGCCTCCACAAAACATCTGCTTGTGCCACTGTTCAGCAGCACATATTCATTCCACAATTCTTGCTACCAATGTATTGTTTAGGCATTCTTCTTATGGGTGGTCAATGGCATTTCCGTGTGAGTCACTGTATGTATGTCATTCTAAAGAAGGACATTGCTTAGTTCAAACTTCTTTTTCTGAGAAGAACATTCCTAATAAATTCTGAAAAAGAGTTAGTCTTTCCTTTATCAGGAAATCTCACTTTGTGCTGGTGTGAGTGTTGTTTTGTTTGGGAGGGGGTGAGATTGGGTTTTTTAGATCTTTTTAGTTACCTATTACTTATAGTGAGCATTCTTGCTCTATTATCATATGCAGTAGGGTTTAGAACAGTGAATGCTATTTGTCTCAATATTTATAAAAACGTGCTTCTTGAGTAGTTCCTCATTCAATTTTAAGGTTACACAGGCAGAACATATACAGCTGGGCTGAATATAATATCCACTGAACTGCTTGTGAGACACAGGATCAGAATCGCACTGAAATATTGATATGGGTCAGAACCAACTCACTGTCAGTGTGTGTGCGTGCGGGGAAGGGCTGGGCCCAGACCTGCAGGTCCATGGTAAGGCCTGCACATCAGGCCTGTTGAGGGCACAGGGCAGAGCTGGAAGGTCCTGCAGCCCACATGAGCCCATGGCATCACTGAAGGCGGTGCAGCCGGACTGTCAGTCAAGGCAGACCTGCCTGGTAGCCCACCCACACCAAGCCCCTGGAGCCTGTGACTGCCTGCAGCACACCTCACTCTGGCCTGGAAGGCACCGACTGGATATCCTGCCTGGGAGGGAAAACTGAACTCTGTAAATACAAGAGACTCCATGTGAGCTCTGTCTCTCTCTTTTCTCCTGCTGCCTGCACCACGTGAACCATCAGATCTTGTCGGTAACCATTTTTCCTGTCCTCGCTCTCCTTCTGTCTTTCATCTCTACTCTTTTATCTGTGTTCTTATTTTACTCTTTTCCTTCCGTTATGGGTAACTTAAAACCAATGAACTGTGCTTTACTAAAGCTGGTATATTGATTATTTGTAACGGTTTTTTTCTGTGGAATGGGTTTTTTTTGTGATGAGTGTTTTAGTGAAATATTTTTTCTTGCTTGTATTTTACTCCTGTAAAACCTTTTGCCAAAATATCTTATTTTTCTCACTAAATTAAAAGAATTTCCCTTAGAGAAGTGTGTGACTCTTTTTCCAGATGCGAATTCGAGGTTATAATGAACAAAAAGGCTTTTAAAAAGTCTTAAATAAAATGTAACTACTCTGGGCAGGTTATGGCTTAAAATCTGGAGTGTAACACATATGTTTAGGAAGTACATGTCTATGTGGTCTCTAGATCTCTACTCTTTCTCCATCTTTCCTCTTCCTACAGTCACCAACTCACCTCTCCTAGTTTTGGTTTTAATGAATCATTTCTATCATTTCAGAGACTCACAAAATGTTCTGAATCGGAAGGGACCCACAAGGATCATGGAGTCCAACTTTTAAGTAAATTGCCCATACGGGGATCAAACCCATGAGCTTGGTGTTATTAGTACTGTGCTCTAACCAACTGAGCTAATCTCAAGGTCCTCTTGAAGATAAAATTTTGGACTCATTTTTTTCCTTTTTTATTTTTTAATAAAAAAAAAAATCCTAGCCTTTGTGCTTTTGAGACAGGTACTCTATTTATAGCCATCTACTTCATTTCATATGCTTTAAATTAAATCCATCCTGCACAGCTACACAGGATTATACAGCATTTATGACATTTTGACTTACTGAGATCATAAACAGTAACAGAAGTAGTAGAAGAATCTCAGCCCCAATAAAAACAACTGAAAATGGGAGCAAAAATGTGCAGCAAACTGAACAACTGACTGCAGCCCCCATTCCCTGTCCCTGACCTGAACTAAAGAAGAGCCAGAGCTAAT